GTGCCACTGGCTCTCACCTGCGTATGTAAAACACTGTCAGCGTCATTTACAGTAAGTAGTCCGAGTCCTGAGGGCGTTTTATCGGGTTATCTTATCTAATTATTATCTTTCAGCAGTCACTTTACTTAACCTGACACTTCTGCGCAGAATAGTGTGTAATCTGTTTCTAACCACTCATAGCATTGCCGGGGACCACGTTAGGCCGTGTAGAACTTGATTAAATTTGTGAGTTCAGTTTCTTTAGCAAAATTTATCTTATTCCTTTGGCCATTTATTTCAGGGAATTAACTGCAATGTACTCATCTTTCACTGCCTCACTATTTTTATATTCAAAGTATTCAAAAGGTATGTGGACAATTTTTTATGCAAGGAACGCTACTGTCTATAGCACTGTCTTAGTCTACCTAAACCTGTATCACACAGGTTTGTGGCATTTACTATAAATGGGCTCTTTTCACTCATTTCATAATGTCAGAGCTCATCATGTGAAGGTCATGTTGCATTTCTGGAGTAGTTTGCACTTCATGTGCTCATGTGGTGATGCTGCTCGGAAGGACCCTGCAGTGTCAAGTAGTTTTAAATGAATCCTCGACCAACTAAAAGAATATGCTATTTTTTTTTTTGTCCCGTTTGGATCTTTAGCCATCAGAATTGTTGTCTTAAGGCCAAGAAAGATGCCAAGCGGATTTACTTTACCAAGTGGATCATCGTGGCCTTGGGTCCATTTGATTGACCTTTATTATAATTATGTATTTATTTTATTTTATTTTCAGTTGATACAGACGGGACAGACATGACTGGGGGATAGGACAGGGAGAAAGAATGAAAGAAAGAGAGGGAGAGAAAGAAAGAAAAACAGAGGGGAGAAGAGACGGCGAGAAAGGGGGGGAAGGAAGAAAGAAAAACAAACAAAACACTTGGATCACCTGAATGGAGAAAAAAAAACAGAAGAGAAAACAAACAAAAAAGAGCAACATAATAAATACAGCACCATCACAATAAACTAGCTAGCAGTAGATAACAGTAGATACTAAATATTAAACGCTATTGTGCAGCACGCAAGATAGACAGCACATAATGTTCTTTGAGGCAGCAGCCAAGAAAGCTGTAGTCCGCGTCTGTGAACACCTGTGTGTACACCTGTGTGTACACCTGTGTGGATCAGCACGCTTGTATTCCAAGTAACGATCTGCTAGGGAGTGTGGGAGCCATAGCCCCGTCCACCAGGGTATGAAGCAGGTATGGAGGAGATCCAGGCCCCAGATATCCAGAGGCCCCAGAGTACAAGGACCCGAGGAGGACCACCAAAGGGGGGGAACCGTGCCACCCTCCTGGGAAGAGCTGAGTTGAGCCCCAAACGAGAGGTCACCCAGCAGCCACGGAGCAGAGGCCAGAGGGGTTTGCAGTGGCGTGCCCGCGGGCTCTGCCGGCAGCCAGCTGTGCCAGAGAGGACTGAGCTTCAGGCCCAGAGGCCTGAGGGCATCCCACCCCCTGGAAGGGGCCCAGCCGGGCCACAGGCGCCAGGCCCCGCCAATCGGCCACCAAGAGTGAGCCGGTACATACATGAGCGCCCAGCCCCAGTCGACAAGAACCACCAACACACCAACGCCTGTGGGCATCAGCCACCGGCAGGGAGTGTGGTGAGGGGAGATAGGCCTCCGTACTTTAGAGGGCCTGAGATGTACCCAGAGAGGTTGAGTCTAAGACCCAACCTGACATATAGACACAGACGAACAGGCACACGCAGACACAAACGTGCATTCCCACCCCCATATACACAACCAAATACTCGGCACTCACCCAACGTGTAGACAGACACAAATAGACACTGCACAGACAGTCAGACTCCCCAAACATGCTCTATATCCCAGGTCCAGGTACCCCCGCCCCCAGAGGGGCAAGCCGCACCTAGACCCAGGAGATGTAACCCTTCTCTCTGGGGTGGAGGCAAGCGGACCACTTCCTTATCTGCAGTAGCAGGGAGGCCCCGCATCCCAGACCCCAGTCTGACGGCCAGCACCTCCTCCCAGCCCCCCAGCCCTGACGGCTGAAGACCTCAAACCTCCCTACGCCCGCTCATATATAGTGTTGCTCTGTGCTGTTCTAAAGTGCATTTAAAACTCAGGAGAGCATGGTACTAGCTTCCTCTCAGAGAGCAGCACGGCTCCTCCTGAAAACCCTTAGTGTCTAAATGCATTTAAAATTGAGGGTAGGGCACCAGCGCCAGAGGTGGGTTGGAGTACACCGACCATCCTCTGGATTGGATGCTGTAAAACGTGCCCACCCCCAAGGCCCTATATGTATGTGTTATGTGAGAGTGTGAGTAATGTGGATGTCTAGGTTGCAGAATAAAATTGAGGCACAGGCGGCCAGAAGGGGACAGAGGGGAAGTGCCTCCCCTGCACCCTGGTGACATACCTGCACCCCAAGCCCTGCGTGTGTGGATGGGTGTGGTAGAGCGGGAAGAGGGAGGTAGCTGAGGATGGGGAAGGAAGAAAGGGAGGGGCAAGCGGCCCGCTGACCCCAGTAGGCACCCCCACACTCTGGAACCCACCAGGGCAAGGGGGCCCAGGCCCATCCGGACCGGGGCCCGCAGCAGCAGCACCGCCCAGCCCCACAGAGTCCGGGGCAGCCCACCCAACTCCACCCCAGAGAAAACTGCACCCACCCCATCATCCAATCATCTCCCAAACTACACAAGACAATAGATGCCTAGGTTGAGTTCATTCTCCACCTCTCCTAAATCTCTCCCCCCCACCTGCAGAGTGAGCTCCTGTAGTGAGGAGACCACCTGCAAAGATATAACAGCCTCCCCACCAGTTAGAGAGCCCCCTAGTTGGGCCGATGCACCAGAGGTCCCCTGCACTGGGGCTGAGTCCCCCTGCACCCACCCGCCCACAGCCCCGGCGACACAACAACCAGAACCCAAGCCCCAAGGCCCAGCCAGCACCCCAGACCGGGGGCGGAGCACCCCCAGACCCCCAAGCCTCCACGCCCGTCCCGGACCCACCCAGGGGCAGCCAGGCTACCAGGCCAGTAACCGACGTCCGCCAGCACAGACCCTCCCCCATCTCAGAATATGCTATTTATGCTCAAACTACCCTTAATCATATATTTCGAAATACTTCAGAATATATTAAGTGTAAATCATTTTAGGTTAAATATCCACATGTTGGGCTGCAAATGCGCATGAGTTTCCACATTTCCCACTCAGTGTGTGAGCAATTTAAATGGTACAGATACAATAGCACGCGCAATACACAAGGGCTTATGTGTCCTTGATTCAGATCTAATTGGAAAAATGGAGTGGAAAAGGCCCTGCAGGCTGCTAATATTTAAACAAATGTTGGTGTAGTGGCAGGTCATTTAGCTGCAAAGAAACTAGAATGAGTCACTAGGGATTAGACTGATAGCAATTTCAGGTATGTGGACACGTCGTACCGTTTGCACACACACAAAAAAATGCAAGGAATACAAAGTTGGTCATATGGCATATGTCAGCTGTAAGTGCTGCAGTTGACATATGGTGACACTGGTGCAGATATGTGGATTATTCAGATGTCATGGCCAGGAGCTTATTTAAACATTACTTTTATACATGAAGAGCTTAAATATGTATACTGACTCTTGTGATGCACTCAGGAAAGAATGATTCCAATATGTGGGGCATGATGGTCATTTTATTGTTAATCTTGTAAAATGAAACAACCGTATTCTAACGTATAGTAGATATAATATTTTTATATATTTAGTTCACATGATTTTTGAATTTGTTGTTTTCTTAATAATTCATAGCTAAACCGTGCTTGGCTACATGAGAACATATTCATCATGCCTTATGGGTTGTCATATTATCAAAGTAGAAACTATCATTAGAACAACACGTGCCCACCATGTAAGGTTACGACTGCTATCATTAACAATGCAAAGAAATGTCAGCCACCCAGAATACCAACCAGAAGAAGAGGCCCTCCGATGGTTTATTAGCAAGCATGACACGTAAAATGTCTGCAGTGTTTGTTTGCAAAGAAGAGTGGAGGAATATTTGACATTTGTGCTTGGAGCAACGTGTTATAATCTTCCCAACATTTACACCTATGCACTCAGGAACATGGGATCCTATTAGCTCGGCTTCAGTGAGACTCCCCAGCTAATTCTGCTTTTTTTTTCTCTCTCTGAGTTAGTACTCCAGAGATCAGGTGCTCACATGGAAGAAAGGCACTTAGACAGATGACAAAGAAACAATAATATAATTGCTTTGAATGTTAAATCTGAATTGCAAAATTTCACTCGTGAATTTCGATGTTATTTGTGTTAACACTGATTTTTAAGCAACCTGAATCAATAACAGGCCGCTGCATGGGCATGAAGTGCTCAGTAATTACAGAATGTTTGTGAAATGCAAGAATTGATGTTACAAGGTAATTAACGTAAAGGTTTATTATAAAATGACATAACGTTACATAATGTACGGCGCATATACTAACTCTGTGACAATTATACTGATTAAAAAAAGGTCGTTACAGTAAAATGTTGGCACACACTATTCAGATAATTCAAAAGGAATAAAGGCTCCGTAACACAATATTCAATTATAGGCCCATAGGCCAGCTGCCTCAGTGGACAAATAAATTGTTTCAGTGAGAAACTAATGCGTCTGGGAATAATGGTGGGTGCCCAGGATGATAATGTATACTAGTGTCTGTGTCTAAAACTTATGAATATTTTGTTACAGTATGCAATCAGAAACTTTACATTAATCATTCATAGTCCTTGTGGCCCATTATTTCTGCTATTAAATTATTAATGCCTTGAGCTGACTTTCTTCACATAATCAAGTACCTATTGTTGGCTGCTATACATTGCTTCGATAGATGTTCTCATCCCTTTGTTTGGTTTACGCTGCGGGAAAGAAGATGGTAAATATCATGTGGTGACCCAGCTTTGTGTCTTTTCTATCCCCTTTTCTCTCCCATCTCCCAAAACATCCATAAATATAGAGTTTTTCTTGGAACTGCTGGACAATTCTGAGAAGTCACTCAACAGTATGTTCACACGGACATACGGGAAGCTGTATATGCAGAACTCTGAAGTATTCCAGGACCTGTTCACTGAGCTAAAGCGCTACTACACGGGGGGCAACGTCAACTTGGAAGAGATGCTAAATGACTTCTGGTCCAGGCTGCTGGAACGCATGTTCCAGTTACTTAACTCCCAGTACCACTTTACAGATGACTACCTGGAGTGCGTCAGTAAATACACAGATCAGCTAAAGCCTTTTGGAGACATTCCCAGAAAACTTAAGGCCCAGGTCACCAGAGCATTCATCGCTGCAAGGACGTTCGTCCAGGGGTTAATGGTGGGCCGGGAGGTTGCCAACAGGGTCGCTAAGGTGAGTTTAATTTTTTTTCTCATGGCTGCTTTGAGTGTGATGTTGCTTTGTGACTGTTTAGCACTGCTGGCTTTAGCTTTAATGCAATAAACATTAGAACATATCCTTTAACATGACAACTTTCTGTGGATATGTTTGATCCCCAGGTCGTTGCATGAGATTTAAATGCTTTGCAGCTGTTTAAGACATAGGCATAGACTTTATTTAATCCCACACTGGGGAAATCCACTTGTTACAGCAGCACAGGGGACACAAGGAAAAAGGGGATTATACATATATTAGAAAAACAATAAAAAACAGAAAAAAAAGTGTACAAAAAAAGCCAAAATACATGTACAGATGGTTACTATGGTTTTGTCATTATGCATCTTAAACAATTGCAAATGAATAATAGTTCATGCACAGACCGGATGTGGAGGGCAGTTTGAGACATTTTTCATAGATATATGTGGTGATGCAGACGGTTTGATATGCATTCATTATTTTACTCCTTCACAAAGAGCAAAGCTTTGCAAAAAGGGAAAATGTTAAAGCACAGGTCAGCTGAGATTTCATGTTGGAATTGTGTTTGCATTGTTCGTCTTTGCAGTTTGTATTTTGTCATGTTTTTTTTTGTTTGTTTGTTTGTTTTTCAGTGTGCATAAGTAAAAATTTGCTTCATTTCAATGTGACAGTTTATTTAAAACTAATTAGTGTTTCGTCTGAAATCTTAGTAGATTGGATTGTAAAATAAGTACAGTGGGGCAAAAAAGTATTTAGTCAGCCACCGATTGTGCAAGTTCCCCCACTTAAAATGATGACAGAGGTCAGTAATTTGCACCAGAGGTACACTTCAACTGTGAGAGACAGAATGTGAAAAAAAAATCCATGAATTCACATGGTAGGATTTGTAAAGAATTTATTCGTAAATTAGGGTGGAAAATAAGTATTTGGTCACCTCAAACAAGGAAAATCTCTGACTCTCACAGACCTGTAACGTCTTCTGTAAGAAGCTTTTCTGTCCCCCACTCGTTACCTGTATGAATGGCACCTGTTTGAACTCATCATCTGTATAAAAGACACCTGTCCACAGCCTCAAACAGTCAGACTCCAAACTCCGCCATGGCCAAGACCAAAGAGCTTTCGAAGGACACCAGGAAAAGTATTGTAGACCTGCACCAGACTGGGAAGAGTGAATCTACAATAGGCAAGCAGCTTGGTGTGAAAAAATCAACTGTGGGAGCAATCATCAGAAAATGGAAGACATACAAGACCACTGATAATCTCCCTCGATCTAGGGCTCCACGCAAGATCTCATCCCGTGGGGTCAAAATGATCATGAGAACGGTGAGCAAAGATCCCAGAACCACACGGGGGGACCTGGTGAATGACCTGCAGAGAGCTGGGACCAAAATAACAAAGGTCACCATCAGTAACACACTACAACGGCAGGGAATCAAATCCCGCAGTGCCAGACGTGTTCCGCTGCTGAAGCTAGTGCATGTCCAGGCCCGTCTGAAGTTTGCCAGAGAGCACATGGATGATACAGCAGAGGATTGGGAGAATGTCATGTGGTCAGATGAAACCAAAGTAGAACTTTTGGTATAAACTCAACTCGTCGTGTTTGGAGGAAGAAGAATACTGAGTTGCATCCCAAGAACACCATACCTACTGTGAAGCATGGGGGTGGAAACATCATGCTATGGGGCTGTTTTTCTGCCAACGGGACAGGACGACTGATCTGTGTTAAGGACAGAATGAATGGGGCCATGTATCGTGAGATTTTGGCCAAAACCTCCTTCCATCAGTGAGAATTTTGAAGATGAAACGAGGCTGGGTCTTCCAACATGACAATGATCCAAAACACACCGGCCGGGCAACAAAGGAGTGGCTCCGTAAGAAGCATTTGAAAGTCCTGGAGTGGCCTAGCCAGTCTCCAGACCTCAACCCCATAGAAAATCTGTGGTGGGAGTTGAAAGTCCGTGTTGCTCGGCAACAGCCCCAAAACATCACTGCTCTCGAGAAGATCTGCATGGAGGAATGGGCCAAAATACCAGCTACTGTGTGTGCAAACCTGGTAAAGACCTATAGTAAACGTTTGACCTCTGTTATTGCCAACAAAGGTTATGTTACAAAGTATTGAGTTGTATTTTTGTTATTGACCAAATACTTATTTTCCACCCTGATTTACGAATAAATTCTTTACAAATCCTACCATGTGGATTCGTGGATTTTTTTTTCACATTCTGTCTCTCACAGTTGAAGTGTACCTCTGGTGCAAATTACTGACCTCTGTCATCATTTTAGGTGGGGGAACTTGCACAATCGGTGGCTGACTAAATACTTTTTTGCCCCACTGTATATTTAAGACTGTTATCAAATCCTGAAGATTTCAAATGTTTTTTTTCAAAGGCTTAGAGGATACGTTTTCTAATTCCACGGTTAACACAGAAAGTTATGCAACAGTTTTTAGTGGACATCAAAACTATGAGATATGATATAACCGCAGCTGTTTGCAGATTGGCACGATTCAAACACCGGTATTAATGATCCGACTTGAGTTATTTACATTTGGATTCCATCATTCAGTTTAAAGGAGAGTGGGCTTCTGAAAACTGTGGAAATAGATGTGGAAGGTGGGGGCTGAGAGAGCTTAATTAAACAGTTTCATTTTGAAGCCAGTTTCTTCTAGTTATAGTCATCATCAGCTTTTGATTCTGTTGGTTTACAATTTATAAAACACAAAAAAACGCATTCTGGATGATTTGTGAGCATGAGATTAAAAGGCACGTTCTAAAGAAAATACTTTTTATATACTCTAAACACATAACACCTTTAAGGCTTACTGAAACAGATTTGTCCTTAAAATAGAAACTAAATTTTTAGTTTCTGCTATTTTGCAGAGGCCTTAAAAGATTTAATTAAATGACTGAGAAATCATAACAATAATTTTAGTCTGGAAAGTGCTCGCCCTTCCAAAAGTAATATTCTTCACCTGCTTTTAGACATAAATCATATCAAACTAGATGCTCATAAGTTCAAACATTAAGTTTTAAAAATGTCTTCAGAGTTCAGCAGCGATTCGATTCGTTTCCTTTTTAGCTTAAAGCTCGCCGTGCCTTTCAATTCGACAAGGGAGAGAAACTGTAAGAAGAGCAAAGAAGAAGAAAGTGGATGCAAGAGTGGCAGGGCAAAAAAAAGAAATGATCTGTGCAGTTCACTTTTATGTTGGAGGCTTAACTCCCTGTGTAAAGTTGAGACAGATCATAGAGTGTGAACACAAGTGAATGCATTAAATTTATATTAGAACTTTGGTCTGTGACTGCATAAAAAGTAATGTTTAGACAAAAGCCTACACAGTCAACCTTCACCTATGGTAATATTTCACCTAAGTTATCTGTTTCACTGTGAAGAGCAATTTTTAGGGTATTTAGTTGCATCTTTTTCATAACTTGGATGACACTCAGATCTACTGCTGCAAAAAATGACAGGGAAATTGGTGCACTAATGTTTCTTAAGTACAGTGAATACTCGAAATGCTGATGCTTTTCAGAAATACAATGTGAACAGCAAGCTAGAATACAGTAGGCTATTTTTCTTTGGCAGTTAAGCTAAGCTGGAGTTTGACTTTCTTTGCATAAGTGAAATCATGTTGCTTCAAGTCCCACAACATCATTTCAGTCATCTCACAAAAACTAGGACTAATATATTGTAAGGTTTATTCAAATCCTTACTTTAGATAATTACAGCACAGTACTGTAATGTTCTTTAAAATAATTTTAAAAAGTGTTGTAGTCGATGCACTGCAGAGTTTCATGCTGACAAATAGAGCTGCCAGCAGTTCACTGTAATTCAGCAGGAAGCTTTGTTACAGTGTACACCGTATTACGACTTATAAGAAGTCACATCATACTTAACCACAAGAAATGGTTACATTGAAACTCACTGTCTAATTTCTTCATATTTTTTCATTAGATCAAAAACCAAATCATCCCTTAATTTATATTTTATCTTTGAACTTCTACCATCAGTGTGATGTACAATCAGTTTCCCCCAGTGCCCCACCCTATACTTGCACTATTTCACAGGATTGTGAATTTTCCACCTCAGTATTATGTACATATTAAAGTGCTATGTCATATTCTGCTGCCGTGTATAATCCCTAAAGAGCTGGTCATTTTTAATGCTCATAATGTCTTTTAGCTTACTACTGAGCTAGTCACCATTCCCTTAGTGGCATAGCCATTTCAGAGGAAGAGTTAAAATGAGCACATCTATACATCTGTCCTAGGCCCAAATGGCACCGCCACTCTGGATCAAATCCCATATTCCCTTCTTCCTCATCAATTATGAAGCGGCGCCTGGAAACACTGTGGCATTGCTGAAGGCTGTCAGGCCAGTGAACAACCGAAGAAGTCGAGGTGAAAAGTTGTTTGACATGACAAATCACCTTGACCTGAGATTCACCCTCAGTGCCATGCTGTTTTCAGTGGCACTGCACACATGCATCTCCTTACCGCACACTGTTAGAGTAAATAGCAATGTAAAACTTCTTGGGTTTAAGCACATTATTGCATCCCGTTCAATTGTAGATCCACAAGGATCCGAGACTTTTTATATGCTTTATGGCAGAATGCAGTTTTGTTTTTTGAGTTACTACTGCAATTACTACAGCTTCATAAATCAGTGTTTGGTCATTTGGCAGTGTGTTTTATTAGCAGACCATTTGCGAACAAATAGTGTTGAAAAATACCTCAGAGCTAGACTGCAGTGACAAACACACCATCTGTCACGAAGGTAGAATTCTGTGCTCTGATTCTGCTGTAAGTTTACTTAAAATTATTCTGAGGAGAAGCAAAAGTCAGCATTACTTTACAGTAAATACTTTTTTTACAGAATAAATGATAAATCGGTGCATATGTACGTATAAAGATAGTTTAGTGAAATGAAAATTTATAAACTTTTTATTGTCCCTGATGGATTGGCATCATCGAGATTGTGCTCAATTTCATCATTCTAGC